TTGTTACTGTGTTTATAGTCTTATTTTGAAAGCGGTACTATTACTTCTGACAGAGTATTGTTACTGTGTTTATAGTCTTATTTTGAAAGCAGTACCATTACTTCTGACAGAGTATTGTTACTGTGTTTATAGTCTTATTTTAAAAGCAGTACTATTACTTCTGACAAAGTATTGTTACTGTGTTTATAGTCTTATTTTAAAAGCAGTAGTATTACTTGTGACCGAGTATTGTTACTGTGTTTTGAAGCTGTGTTGTGTTCGTCCAGGTCCCAGTCGACGTTTCAAACGTGTGGTTGAGACCATCCAGGCTCAGCTGCTCAGCTCCAGCGACCCGCCGGGCGTCCAGCCGCAGATATCCGGTAAGTGAACCACACCCCCCCACCCTAGACCACGCCTACACCCCCCCGACCCTTCACGCCCTCACAGCCTCCCTCCTCCCCCCGGCATCCGTTCACTCCCTCACGGCCACGCCCACGGCTCGGACCCGCTCAGCTCGGCTCTGCTTTTAGCACACGGCATCTCCACGTGCATGACCCTGCCACATACCATGGCGTGCACACACACACACACACACACACACACACACACACACACACAGCTGTAGGGGACGATCACTACTGAAAATCAAAACGTGGTTCATCGTCTGCAGAACAAGCGACGCTGACTCATCAGGAAACACTCGGGCCGCCAGTGCTGAGGGACGTTTACACCAGAGCTGTGTGTGGACGAGCTGTTGCATTAGTGCGTTTGTGTGTTAGCGTTGAAACGTCTGAACCCGGGTCACTTCCTGTCAGACGCCACAAACAATCACACAGATTCTGACGTGTTGTTCGTGACTGAGACTCTGCAGCTTTAAGACCTGTAAGAAAAGATCAAGTGTTCTTCAGTCGTTCTGTCTCTATTGTGGTCATTTACTTGATAATGGTTCCCCCTGGTGGTGAGGATCAGTTACTACACACACACACCTGGACGCAGGCTGTCACTGTGGAAACAGTTTGGATCAACAAATACACTGAAAATCAAATCTGTGATATAACTGGTTAAAGTCAAAACTGAAATTTTGATGAATAGATAAAAAATAGGATGATTCCAAACACGAATGTTTACAGAGACTCAAACGTGTAGAAAAGGAAATTAAAATGTTTCATTGAATGGATTAAATTATATCAAAAACATTTAAGAATAAGATAAAATATAAAACTGATGTAAAGTGTGTTTATGAATCTTAGTTCGGCTCTTTTAGGTACTTTAACATACATGTACACAAATATTTAATATAAGAAAAGTGAGAGTATAAATGTGAAATTGTTGCAGCTCATCACAAAGTTTCAATATAAAGTTTATTTGATTCGTTACAGTTTAATAAATTAATGACATGTGATTATTTAACAACTTTGAATGTGAATTTGAGTAAAAACAACAGAAATAACTTGAACCTTCAGCAGCAGTTTCACCGTCGTCATAGAAACCGTTTATAACATTTATAGTTTAGAGCTCGTTAGTAAATGGTTTGATTTATCACGTCGGCAGCTTCCTGCTTCGTTCATTCATTGGTTCTTGTGCTGCAGCTTCTGTTGAACACGTCACTTCCTGTGTGAGTCTGAAACGTGAAGAACAGGAAACACTGACAACGCCTCAAGTTCTCAACACTCGACAAAAGTTATTTTAAAAACTTTTTAGTGGGTAGAGATTTTTAGAAATAATAAATCGGGGATCTGTTATCGGGGGCTCCACCACCACACGTCGCTCTGTCTCCCTCTACTCCTCTTCCTCTCTATCTGTCGCTCTGTCTCTCTCTCCTCTTCCTCTCTGTCTCCCTCT